ATTGTTTTATAAAACATTCATCAGTTCTCATGACCTTTCAGCAAATTTCTAACAGATCCTGCGCCATTATATTTGAATCCACCTGGTTACAAAGTGCAACATTCACACCCGTACCTTGCAGAGACAAATCAAAAGAGAGACTCTGAATTGCAAAATTTGATGAAACTCATTATGATTCAACTTTGAGATGGTTATCAAAGGTAGATGCAGTCTCGTTATTTAAACATATTGACCAATCTCCTTAATTCAGTCATTTCTATTGCCAAAGATCCAATCAAGATATTCAAAGGTTATGAATTACACTTACTGCACTGTACTGAATTACAATTACTGTAATTTCAATCCGAATCTATGCCAGGTAATTCTTGCTATTCAATGAACCCTTATACCATTTTTATCGCCATTTGACTGAGCTCAAAGAGAATGTTTTTGATGAAGATGCTTAGACTCTCAACCGGCTGCTGCAACTCAACTGAGACGTCACAATTGGCACGCGTTTGTCGAACGCAGGTTGGGGATCTTCACGCCCTCGATGAATCCTTCTAACGCCAGTAGAATACAGGAACAGAAAAGCATCTAACTAATTGGACTCCGATGTCATAAAGAGAATCATCATGCCATTAATCAAAAAAGGAACGTTTTTCAGCCAATATTCATAGCTAAATGCTCATTACAATATGTAATTCCCTGCTTCTGTTACGCCAAATGGCAGTTACTGACTTAAATTGGACGAGCTAGCGGGGCAGGATTTAAATTCACGATACTTCTACAGAAAACTGCTGCCTCATTTACTAACTACCCTAGGGTCGATTGCACAACACGTTCGCTAAATTAACTAACTTCTGCAAAAAATGGGCAGCCCTAATGCACATCTCTGTTCACAGAGAACCAGTCAGAGAGACCGAACAGTGGTAACACGGATAAAGATGTGCGAGACACAGTTCTCGCGAAAGTAGGATGAAAAGTAGGACGAAGTGGGACAAAAATCCAAAACGTAAACTGATGTTTCAAACTTCACTGTAGCCAATAAATATAATAAGTTCCTCATGATCAAATGTATTAGATGTATTGGAAAATATTGATATTTACAAAGATTCTTTTTATTTCCCAATTGACGTGCCAACGTTTCATGTTACTGAATCGCCAGGTCTTCACCGAATCACCAGTCTCCAGATTCATTTTCATTAAGCGATTGTACGAAATTCCCAGTAAATCCTAAAAACACAACATGAACACAATATTCGCAATAAATAAATACTTCATAAATTTATGAGGATGTATGCCTTATAAACAGGACAAAGTACGGTAAACTGCACTCGCTGAAGCAGTACAACAGTCGTCATGACTAATTTTCATACACCATAATGTGGTAGCCTAAGGAAGTAGTGGTAACCAGGGGCTGAATAAAGCAATCCGCTGTCCGCTAAAGTAACCCAGCTCATCAACTCCAAAGTATCTAGAAGCAGACAGTATCGAAACGGTGACTAAACGCCATGCTGGAGTTATGACAGAAATAACGTAAGTAGAAAATTCTGACTGCCAACCTAGGAAAGAACAATAGCACTAATTGAAACTAGTGACTTCTGCAGGCAAATTAAATTTAGATATAAATAATTTATCATGAGGGGTCATGGTCAAATGAAGATTCTAGTCAGTCTGTAGAGACAACAGGTATTTTTGAGGTGGCTTCACGCCAGACTGTAGAGAATGAACTATAGCGTGAACAAGGAAAAATAGGAATAGAGTCTCAAATGTGCATAGAGAGCCTAAGGAGGTTATACCTCCTGGGAAAAAGGCTGATGTGTGGTTGTCGCAAAATGAACCGCTACAGACTCGGACACAGAGATTCAGTTAAACATGAGACCTAAAATGAAGCTATGAAATAAAATACTAGCTCTACAAGCTTTCACAGTTATTCCTGTGTTAATCTGAAAAGAAACAAGCACGAATCATGAACAATATCCGTTTATATTCAATACTAAACAATAAGAATCAAAAAAGGCAATCGTATTTTCTGCTCAAAAAAAGATCAGGAGGGCAGAAGCTGCCGCAGAAAACCTTGGTCCTCGACAATATGTATGATATCCCCGTCAAATATAAGTTCGTTTG